GCCGGGGGACGCGGCAGCGCTCAGTGGCGCGCGCGGCGGAGGAATGTGCGCTCGGAGGCGCCGGCCGCGCCCCCTCCTCCCCGCTGCCGTGCGGGGGGCGGAGGGACTCCTTTGCGGGGGCAGGAATGCGAGGAAGGAGACGGCGCTGCGGCCTCTGGAATGTGGGGGGAGTGGCGGAGCCGCGGTGTCCGGGCTGCGCCGGGCGCTCGGAGGGGCGCGGAGGCCGGGCCGCCACGCTGGGCCGGGCCTCCGGGAGCTGCCCTCGGGGGTCCCGCGGGAGAATGTGGTGCCGCGCGCTGAGCCCGGGGCCCGCTGTGCTGCCGAGCCGTCGGGCCTCTGGAAAGATCCCGGATTCCAGCGGGCTGAGCGGGAGGCGCCTCCCCAGTCCCTGCCAGAGAAACCCAGACGTTTCCCACATCCTCCCCCATCGGACTCCCAGAGTTGCCTCCGTTTCAGGCGCTAGCCCGGCCCAGCAAACAGCCTCACGCAGATGGCGCTGTGACCACTCCGACACTTGTGTGCGAATGCAGATGCGCACTGGGGACCTTGCATGACCCCAGGACCACCACCACCACCCGTCTGCCCCGGCGTCATGTGACAGCGCGCTGGCCTCAAAGCCCCCCACCTGGCTGGTGGGACAGGCTCTTAGAGCTAGGAGCCAGGGCCAGGTGGGGACTGGTCCTCATGCTGGGACGCTATGCGCAGGCCTTCAGGGCCAGGCCAGGCCGAAAGCAGGCCTTCAGTTCAACTGTGGCCACTACAGGCAGTCACCTAGAAATGTGAAGTCCCCTACTTTTCCAGGTGACAGCTCCCGGAGTTTGGGGTGAGGCATCAAGGGGATTCTCCTGAAAGCACCTGCGGTCCTGAGATGGGTTCATAAGGGGTCGCGTGGGTGGAGATAAGAGATGATGAGGGCTTTGTCCCCAAGAGCAGCTGTAGGGGAAGAAAACCAAACCGTCATTTGTCAGGTCATGGTGGATCCAGGAAAAGTCTTGAGTGAAGGCGCACCCCCTTTTCCAGGCATCCCTTACTCAGGTTTTTGGGAAGCAACCTACAGTATCTCAGAGGTCAAGGAGCCCACGTGGAGAATTGTCTTGGTCCAGACTGACCAGCTCAGTCTGGCCTCAACGCTGCTGCAGCCGAGCACACAGCACTGGGGTGCACGTCCTATCCTACACACTGGGAGTTTTCTTTGGGTGTACCTGTGGGGATTCTTTTCATCCCCTCTTCTCTAAGGCCCCACTCTTTATACGAGATTGGAGTCTAACCTAGACTTACCTGGATACTGGTAACCTCCTTTGACCTCTCTGGAGGCACAAGAAGATTCAAAGCATTGACAGCTGAGGGCCTTGCAAGGATTGGTTCCCCACTCAAAGAATTAGGTTTTAGGTATGGTACTTGAAGCTTGCTTCCCTTATCAAGAAGCAAGAGGACATCTTTTCTTGACTTGAAACCTTATCATGCACTTAGGAATGAGAACTTTTGCCAAATTTCACACCATGGTAAAAACTCCATTCTGTAGCTTACTGGGGAGGACCTATTTGGGCTCAAATTAGTTGAGCTTTTGGTATTACATCTTTGAACATGAATTTCTGAGCTCCTGGAAGCTGCTACTGGGACCAACTGGCAAGCCCTGCCTCTCAGGTTGGCAGTAGGATGTGGGTGCTCAGATCCCAAACCCACCACTTATTTCTGCCGTAATTAAATGAGAAGTTAGGTTTCCACGAACACAAGTTCTTAGTGTTTTCCTGCTTTTTTTTTTT